AGTTGTACGAACCGAGATATGCTGCTGTTTCACACATCTCGATCTTGATTGTGATTGCTCTAATTTCTAAAGGTGACCGAGAGTGTTACATTTTCTCGAATGCAAGTGTAACGTCCGTTACTCTAATTACCTAATAAGAATCATAGAAATATGACATCTATGATATACTGATACTATTTTCTTATCTAATTCTTCCAAAATACAGTATTAACAGTTCCTGAGATGCTTACAATAAGAACACCCTTTTTCACAGAAAACAAAAGCCCAACATGTTTAAATTCCACTGAAAAGTGACAAAAAATGCTTCACATGAAAAAATAAACGATCCGAAAATTTACGGAATGTGGCAATATATTCAAAATGAAAACATTGCACACAATTTTAAAACTATTAACAATTTTATTCGGATACCTTAAATACATCGTGTTTACTGTCACTAAATATTGCAATTTAAGCAGGGTTGTGGAGTCGGAGTCGAAGTCGTGGAGTTTTGGTGTTTTAACCGGAGTCGGAGTCGTCAAAAAATTTGCCGACTCCGACTCCTTTTTACTTACCAACTTGTTATGTATATAAAACGGAAAAGTATTGCAATCGTGTCAAATTTGACCCTCCAAGTTTTTTGTTGCAAATCTACCCGTTTGGAGACCTCCCGAACACCTCAAAAAGTCAGTTAAGGGAAAAGATTCGCGCGCGCGTGTGTGTTGGCGTCTAATTTCTTTAATTTCTTTATTTTCTGTTCTGAGATATTAAACAATATCTCAGAATGGGTAAAGTTTAAGAAACGAAATGTGGCACTGTGGCTTGCGTATAAAGACGCACTAATACTGTTAAATTTTGGTACTTAATTAAAGGTCGACATGGTAAAGACCTAAATGTGGTCACGTGTCATATCTCTTAATGAATATTTTACTCTTTACTAGCATTCAAAATTAAAAAAAATAAAATAGAATAAAACTCGTCTCTACCCTCAAAGTAAGCTTTTTAGCCATTTTACAATAGTACAGTAAAACCCATTAAGATATTCTCGCCTGAGATGTTAGAACTTATATGGGGACACGATTTAGTTCAACCACTTTGACGCTTAATAACTAACTCGTGTTAAACAATCTGACTCCGATTCTGACCACTCTGACCACAGAAATTATTAGGCTTCAAACAGGATGAACAAAATCATGCTCCCCACACAGTATAACTTCCACACATATAAAAAAAACACTAAAATCTTTTGAATGTCTCGAAATTTCTGTGTCCCGAGTCCAAAAATGTAAAAATTTGAAAGGGTCATTTTTTTAGCGAGCGCTACACTTTTCCTCTGTTATATATAACAGCCAGAAAAGTAAAAATTATCGAATACATATTAATATATTAGAGAAGTCTTTAGGCTTTGGAATAAAAAGATTTTACGCTCTATCTTTATTAGAACTCTATTTATTGAATCTTTTATTCTGAGGTCACGGTGATGACATCAGAATTTCAGGGTTTCTTTCCGTAACAAGTCCGCCTCTAGTCGGAGTCGGAGTCGGTAGATTTTTACGCGACTCCACAGCCCTAAATTTAAGTCAAATTTTGTATCATTAAATTCAGCTTATCAGTGTCATTGGCTGAAAAACAGACTTTGGTCTGTTCGAAACCATTTATCGTTTTCAGAGTACCGAAGAAACTAAAAGTTGCTTTTATTATCTGAAATGTAGAATTCGATTAGATTTAACAACTTTCCATTTATTTAAAAGTTACGTATGAAAATAACAAAAAATGTTTTACCTTGTAAGCAAATTCCTTAGTAATTATGAAATCCAGAACTTCTACTCCCAGTTGTCTGGATCCCAATCTCTTTAGAAAGCACAAAAGCTGTAAATATAATAATATTGTTGTCGTGTATCAGGTGTGATCAACACTTAATACTACTGTCAAATA